CATGTTTATCTTCTGCTTTTCTTGCCAACCAAAATAGATTATTCAGTCCTGGGGGAGGGAGGAGGATGGTTAAGTGGAAGGTAAACGACAGGCGCTGCACTTTGATAGCAGCAAGAACTAAAAATCTTATTGTTGTTATAATAGCTGAGCGTGTAATTAATCATCTCCTATTGATTTGCTCTTCATCTAGATGCAGGGCACAAAGGCTGGAGGAACTCTCGTGTTATTTAGCTGCTCCATCTAATCAGAGGGAGGATGTGAGTGAGACACAGCAGTGCATTAGTAACCTGTGGGATGGGGGAGCCTTGTGTGCTGGACCTTCATCCTCGGGGCCAGAGGACAGCAGTGATAATGAGACCTAATCTAAACGAGCCTGGTGCTTACAGTCCATGTCCCACAGGGGCTGTGAACATCACAAATATTGATACAGCATCAGGAGAGAGCAGGGATTGATTCGTGGTCAAGGGAGCAGGATGTCCTAATTGTCTCTGGTAGTGCTGATTAATTTGATCAGGGAAATGAGCCTTAAAATAGCTTAAGGGTAGAAAGGGGAGCTTGGCAGTTGGAAAAAATAAAAGCCTTTTCTGTCTTTCTGGCCTTTGTGAATTATTAAGCAATATGTCTCTGGAGATAAAATTTATGTATATAAGCAAATACATGTAACTTGTTCTTTAGACCTTTTGTTTCTGTGGTCTATTTCCTGATTTGACTTTTCTTTTCCTGTGTTCAAATAGATTTTGGGGTTTTTTCTCCTTTCCAATTGAGATCATATGGATTAAAAACTTTGACTCAAAATCTCTTTTGCATACAACAACATGCTGCTGGCTGTTCCTCCTCTACAGTGCCACATGTTTCTGAAAGGTGCCACCTCATCTTTCCGGGGGTCCTTTTTATAAAACAATGGTGATGTTGGAGGTGTGAGGGGATTCAGACAGTTAACCTGAAAGCTCCTAACCAAATCCTTTGTAGCAGTGTACAGCTATTTTCAGATCAACATCAGTCTATCTCTAGTGCAAAACCAGATATCATCACAGCAGTGGAGAATTTAGCCCTGACTGTAATCTTGGCTCCCTTAAGAAAACTCTTTATTTGATCTTTTCAAACTAAAAACTGAGTAAGCAGACTGTGGTTTTCCAAACTTTTAATAACAGCATAAGGGGAAGGACCAGCAACCAATTAGTGTTTTGAAAATACAGGATTCCAGCAAGTTGCTCCTCATGACAGGTTTCATCTATTGACTGATTTATGGGAAGATCAATAGCGTTCAGCCTGCAAATTCGTCAGCTGAGGCAATGCAGGCTGCAACATCTCGTTTTTAGGGAGATGTTAACAGCTGCCTGACTTAGTGTAGAAGGTGGTGTCATTCAGGCAGTCTCTGTGGAAAGACCTGAAATCAGACAGCCAGATTTGTATTCGTTAATGTTTTGATTTAAAGTTTGTGCTGTTGAAAGAAATCTTTAGGGATATCTTGATGTGTGTTTGCTCTCTCACTACTGTTAAATCCACCTACCTTCAACTTCTTGTATTGAGCTGGGAAAAAGTAGAAGGGTAGAATGGGAGATTTACTTTGGCATTCCAGGTGTTGGGCAGAAAATAGAATATCCCTATCACAGAGATGGGTCTTTATGAATGGAAGTGTCCAAGGCCAGGTTGGACAGGGCTTGGAGCAACCTGGGATAGTGGAAGGTGTTCCTGTCTGTGGCAGGGGGTTGGAACTGAGTGATCTCTAAGGTCCTTTCCAACTCAACCCATTCTGTGCTTTTTGTGGTAGATCTGTTCCTTTTCTTTTTAAAATTCCAAACACAGGAACGAATTACATCCCGTCTGGAGATGCTTTTCATTTTCTCTGAACTTTTCCTGTTGTGCAGTGGTTCACAGGCACCACAGCCATGTGATTAGCCCAGGCTGCTCTTGCTCCTTGTTGGTCTAATTATCTGTTCATTAGAATCTCAAGTCTTGAGCTGGCAGTGTGTAGGGTGTCTTTGTTTAAAGGGCAGTCTCCTAATGCAAATATTAAGAGAGCTTTCTGCCTTGCCTGAGTCAGACTGACAAGCTAATAATAGCCTTGGTGTTAGCCCTGGCTAGCACAGAGCACCAGTGCAAAAAGGTTTAAAGGGACTGGTGTATCAATCAGATCGTGGCCCATAATATGCCTTTGAGGCTTTTGCTTGCTTTAACACTTAAACCCTCGTTAAGAAACATCGTCTGGATGCAAAGGGCACGGCACTAAAATAGGAGCTGCTCTCTAATACACTGCTGCATCCACTTGGGGCTTCAGCTTAGTCCTGGATGGCTCCTAATGAGCAGAGCCCCACAGTGCTGAATTGTGCCTTCCCTAGCTGGAGCCTTGTTCCAGGAGCTGCTCTGAGGTTCAGAGGCATCGAGTGAGTCAGATGGCTCAAAACTGTGAGGATGCTGAATTGTTGGAGAGGGCATGTTTGATTCCCAGCTTTGCCAGCACAGGATTACATGTTATGCAATTGCTGCGATTTAATTATAGTGTTCCAGCAGTTTTGATATCTGCCTTTAAATTATCCCAAGGGCATCAAGGAGGAATGGCTTACTTTGAATAAATCTTCATAAACATATGACTCTGCTGCTGGCTTGTTTTGTTCTGTGAGCATCATTTGTTCCCATTAACCATATCCTAGAAGTCAATACTGCTATTCCTGGAAACATGGCAATATCACATGAGGAGGAACTTGTGGGATGGGCTCAGTGTGTCATTACAACAATTGTCAGCTCCTCTCTTTTATTTATGGAAGAGCGATGCATATGAATGTACCTTTATCTGGAAAGTTTTAGGCAATTCTAATAAAAGGAGATATGCATGAATTATCAGAACATGATGTTCTATTCACTGGAGGGAGAGTCATTTTAAAAAGCCTGCTAAGTGAGGCATGGTTGCTAAGTAAGGCAAGGGTTTTATTAGACCCACTGACGTAATGGAGAGGAGGAAAAACAGGCAAGATTTTGGGCACACAAAGATCTTCTTTGGATGGGAAACAAATGGCAGACTTTGTGCTAAGAATGGCTTGGGAACAATGGCTCTGAGCTTCAGCTCAATATGTTACATGGGGAGGTAATTCTGGAGGGAAGGGGAAGCTGGGACACATGGGGAGGATTGCTAAATAATGGAGATGACGTTGGGAATGTGGGGAAAGGCTGTTGCTTGAGGAATTTAAGGCAATCTGGAACTGGGCTGTGACCATCTCCTGCTCTGCTCCGAGGTGTTGGCACCCAGGGCAGACCTGAGGACTGGAAATACGGAGCAATATTGAATATGGGCTGTGCAGCAGAGGAGGAGGAAGAACATGGAAGGATGTCCACTGGCAGTGTGGTTTAGGATGATGCAGATGATTGCTCTAATTGCTCTAAAGCCTAGGAGAATCAGGTGTTTTAGTTCAGGAAAGTAACTTTGCCAAGGTCAGGTGCTCCAGTACAAATGGTTTCTTTACCTTTTTTTGCCATGGTGTTACAGGACAGTCAGAGCTTACAGCTCTGGGCTTTCTTCTCCTGCCTTGCTTTACATGGGCTGCCTGAGTTCCTTCCTGAGGGCTGTTTGATTTATATCTGCTCTGATCCTCCTCCTGGAGTGTCCTTGTTGGGCAAAGGCCCTCTTTACCCTCAGGTGGTGTCCCAGATGTTCCCTTGGCAGCTGTGGTGGTGTTGGGGGACCTGCCTGGATGTGCTGTTCTCATTCTGCATTCTGCACAGCACTGGGATTATTGTCCAGTCAAATCCTGTGGGATTTGACCCAGGCAGGGCTTCTTCCAAGTGTTCAGCTCAGCAGGAAAATTCATTGTGATTACAGTGTTTTCTTGCTCTGGGCAGGCTTAATTTAATGATATTTGTAAACCACTTGAAGACCTGTGGATGGAAGATGTTCTCTCCTTAGCAAGGCTACCTTGTGTGGTGTTCAGGCTTCAGAGGAGTTAAAAAACACCATAAATCCTGAGTGAGATATTAACAATATCCAGTGTAAGTGATTATGACCAGCTGCCAGGCAGCTTTTGGGCTAGAGCTGCTCTCTTATTAGTGCCACCCCAGGTTTTCTAGCACAGGGTCATGTTCCTACATGTGCCAGAGGAAACATGTGTGGCAGGCTGTTGCTTGGTCACTCTCTAGCTTGGAGAGGGCTCAGGCTGAAATTTGGGGAAGGACTCGTCTGCTGAATGGTGTTGTTGCCAGGGTGGGTATGGAAGGTCCCTGTCCCCCCATGTTTGAATTATTGAGGCTCGTGCTGGCAAAACCTCACCAGGCTGTCCTGGGGAACTGGTGATTAAATTGTTGCACTAAGGATCTATAAACTACTCAAAAAAAAAAAAAAAAATCAGTGAGTTAATTTCATTCATGTCACAACAGGTTCCTGCCTTCAAAGATGACAAAACCCCTCATTCTTTATGGTTTTATTTAGACTCCTAATGTTTGATGCTGTTGTCTTCTGTCGTGCAGAATTTCCTGATTTATATCAGGGCAAGGAAATTGGGATAAGGCAGACAAAATCTTTGCAAAACCATCAGCATGTAACCTTTTTTTTTGACCCTCCATACCTCCTGCAAGCCTGCTATTTTTGTAACTCTGGCTAGGTAGCAGGATGAAGATTACATATCATCCTCCAAAGCAGCGCTTTTATTTTGGTCTGGTTATTTTAGGAATAATCAGCAGAGAACAAGGATACTTCCTCTTACCAATTTTGTGTTTCCCTGAGGGGACTGATAGCAAGGGGGGCTCTTACAGAATATACAATTTCCCTAGCAATAGTTTAGATAAATCTTATCTGCCCTTGAATCTGTGGTAAATCTTTCACTGGCTTGTGTGCAGCCTGAATTTCAGTGCATTGCTCACGTGCTGCCTTCTCATGCTTGGAGCTGCAGAGTGTTCAAACACCAGTAAAAATTCTGGTTCAGACTGTTACACACAGCAGAGTTTCACGTGTGTTTCTCTAGATGTCTAAATTTGGTGTTGGAAATAAAAATTACCTTTTCTTTCCCCCTCCCCAGGCCCAATGTGTGCCCAGTGCTGGAGCTGGCTCTGGTGGGACACCAGGAGCCCTGTGTTCAGTCCTTCAGTCGGATGGTCAAGATGTGGAAGCAAGGCTGCACAAAGAGGAGGTGGTGTGTGAGCTATGAGAGAAGGTAATATATTACCTATTGTTATAAATGGGTTTTGTTGCTAATCTTTGTGCAAGTTCTTTAACTTTTTTTTTTTTGGTGAGAGAAGTTGTCAGCTGTTTCATCTGAAATATGTGGTTATGGACATAGTGTCCTCCTGAGATTTGACTTGAAATCTGTTATTACTGAGTAGAAAATATGACTTTTTAATGTGTTTTGGGTTGCTCGTGAGCTTCGTGGCTGGCTTTAGATTCAGAATTTTACACTATCAGAAAGTGTTTCTGTCTTGTTCTTGTTCAGGTGAAGCCCAGCTGTCAAGTCGTTGACTTTGAAAAATTGAACTTCTTTCTGTTTCTGTCACATGCTTAGAACTGATGGGAGATCTGACTCCCCCAACAGCTAAACCCAAAACTGACTGAAAAAAAAAAAAATATATATACTCACCTTTGACTAGCTAAATACAAATTCTTCAAAACAATGTGTGGACATGGCATATCAGCGCTATTGAGTGTTATCAGGTTTGCTATATTTGGTCCATTTTTAACAAGAACTCCCGATGGAGGCTGAAAGAGCATCTCATCCATATGACACAGGAGTGCAGTGTGCTCCTGGTGAGGTGGGAGTGAGTGGGATGGGAGTTGTGATTGCTCTCTTAACCTCCCTCTCCCCACAGGTCTGGCTACTACACGGTTTACAAGCAGGTGTACAGGATGGAGCAGCAGACTGTCTATAAGTGCTGCCCTGGCTGGGCCCAGCAGGACGATGAACCCGGCTGTCTGCACTGTGAGTTGGGATAAAACTGTGACAAACCACGAGGTGACATCCTCAGGCCTTGCCTTCCTACCGAATCCCTACTTCTAGATACAAGACTCTTGTGATTCTTGTGTTTCTTGTGATTTATAATGGGCATTTCCCCATTGACGGGGGAGTAAACGTCCTTTAAAAATACAAAAGCGCTCATGCAAAAGCAGCAAATAGCTCCAGTTTTAATCCACACAATTTGGATTAACAGTCTAAACTCTAATTGGAGTTGTTGCAATATTTTTGTGCCAACCTGGCTTTGACAGGCCAACCAAATTTATTGCTGTTACCCAAATTATGCAGAGAAATCTGCTGTGAGGTGCTTGTTTCATGGGTGTAGCACTCGCTGTGGAGTCTGGCTGGTTTTGGCATTTTCCCTTCTGCTGGTGCCATTGAGGCAGTTTTATTTCTACCCTGTGATTCTCCATCTGATGAGAATCCATTTCTATCACTAATTTCTAATCGTGATTGGCTGTTTTCCTAAAAGACGGAATTTAATTTGAATGATAAGGCAGAGCTTCAGCCACTGTTAACAACACATCAGTAGAAGATGGCAGCCTACTCAGTGTTTAGTTTTGTTACTGCTTAGTCAGTAATTGTGTTTTCTGTATGAAAGTTAGCATCTGTTCTTATTTATTTTTTAATCTTTATACTGACTTCAGGGCTGCATTCAGAGAGCTTGCTTTTATGGTTGTCTCTTTGTAGTTAAAAAACAAAAACAAGCCTGAGAGGTATTCCTGTTAGTTTCAGCCTGAATCTACATATTTAGTGTGCACCTGTTTAGTTGTAAGAAGTCAAAAATATGTTTACAATCTGTGTTTTAATCTCTGGTGTAAAGGAGTTTAAGGTATGTGAGCACCAGTGGCAAAATGAAATTTTCTTCCTGAAAGAGCAGTGGAGATTTGCTTTGAATTCTTGAAGGCACCAAAGTGGTTGAATTTCTCTTTTGTATTTCATACTCTTTGCAAGTTTGGCTCAAACATGTGGAATTTAAGTTGTTGTAAATAAAACTGTTCTGTGTTAGAGGAAAGGAAGAATTGCAATTCCCCTGCACATATGTAATATCTCCCAGTGCATCAGTGGTTTTTAACCACTCCTCCATTGCTGTCTGGCGGTTTTTCTTATTTTATTTTGGATTCAGTGCTTTGAGTCCTGTCTTCTGTCTCTGAAGCACCTTCAAGTTAAACTGCAATATCTAAATCTTACTTTTATTACATTCCTTCATCTCAACAAGGTAGCTACACCCATGATATCAAGTCCTGCTGCAGTCCAGCCTTTGCACTTCACTAAAAATCTGGGATTTTTTTATTTGGGAACTCATGTTGCAAGAGGACTCTGTCAGAAAGGCAGTTCTGGAGGATCCTTGGCACAAAATCAGCTGAAATAGCCTGTCCCATTCTGTTTGTGTGCTCTAGTGCTCTGCACTGCTGGCACTTGCTTCAATGGAGGGAAATGCTCTGAAGAGGGACCCCAGGTGTGCCAGTGTCCTGCAGGATTCCAGGGGCCTCGCTGCCAGTATGGTGAGTGCAGTGGGAATGGTCTCAAGGGCATCTGGTGGTCGGATTAATTGCAATAATTCATCAATAATTGTTTAAATGAGAGTGATTTAAAAGTGCCTTTGCTGTACTTCTAAGTGGTTATTTGATCATTCTCGGGTTTTCCAGGATTTTTTTTTTTTTTTTTTTTTTTTTTTTTTTTTTTTTTTTTTTTGTATTGAATTTTAACAAAGCAAAATGAAAATTTAATTTGGTATCAGATGAGTGAGTGTCTATGGTGGATAACATCACTGAATATCAGCAACGGTGTCCAGTATCTGCCTATTGCTTCTCAACTTGAATGTTCCTGTGGTGCTCTTACTGAATTTCTCAGCCTTGCTTTTACCTTTGTGAGAGGAAATTCTGAGTCAAAGCAGGTGGGCAGAGGTGAAGAATGCAGCAAATGAACCACTGTGTTTATGTGGATTTTTTTTTTAGTGCATCTCAAAGTAGGAAGGTTTTATAGCTCACTATCAAATATTTCATAGTATTCCTGGAACAATATATGCACCAATCTTTCATTTCACTGTGTTCTAGCATGCTATAGGCTGAATTCTGTGTGACTTAGACTCTATCACCTACTCTCAATGAGAATCTTTTTTGTCTCACACACTGGCTCACAATTTGATAAACCCACAATGGGTTGTCTTGTAATTTACCACACTGTTGTAAAGCTCTCCAAAATTACAGCACTGCATCCATTTGGCTTCTTAAGGGAGGGAAGAAAGTCATTCCTTCAGAGTAGGCTGTGATTGGGACAAAGAGTTTCTTTTGTATTAGGCAAATGATAATTTCCTTTTCAACTGAAGCATATTGTGCTTTGTTCAAAGGAAGGCAGATTTTTAAGTGCTTCTTTTTTTCCCTTTTAAATTCTAATATGCTCGTGTCCTCACCTGGCTTGTCTGTCAGGCAGGATGAGGGAGGAGGACTGGAACAGGAAATAAAATGCAGAGCTGTTTGCAATGGAGCTGGTGCTGCTGAGCTGTGTTTGGGTATTTCTTTACTGCCCACATAAACAAGTTTACGTGGGTGAGTTGGGGTGAACCAGAGCTGGCTGGTTGTGAGCTGCTGCTTCAAGGCAAGCAGGATGACAATCTCCAAGGAGGCCTTATAATAAGTTATTACCAAATGGACTATATCTCAGTGAATTATGAATTGCCCTTGCCGTAATAAATTGCCTTTTGAGAGTGTTTTTGCTTGGAAATACCAGTGGAACTGAGGCATTCCCAGCAGGCAGGTTGTGTGGCTGGCACGGGTCAGATTTTCAAGCTGAAAATGAGATTGTGCAGGCTCTGTTTCACAGGCTGGTGACTGCAGCCCCTGCAAAAACAATGAGAGGTATCCTGCAGTCCTTGCTCTTTGCACTTGGGTGGAACTTTTATCTCTGCTCGTTTGTCTGCTTTCTATTGATTCCTGAGCTTTGAATGGAATTCCAGTAGTCATCATTTCCAGGTTTGTACAGCAGCTGCTATCGCAGCCTGGCAGGAGTAAGTTTATAAATTGAATTCTGAAGGGAAAAACCTTCTTTCAGGAAGAATGTTATGGACCATTCACCTGTCTAACAAAAGCAAGGTAATTTAGAGTGTGAGGGCTCTTAACTGTTGCAGGTGCCTCCAGTCAGATTCTTCTGAGGTTTATATCACATTTGTGGAGGCAAAAGGAAGGAGAAGTGTCCTGTGGGACTAACAGCCATAGCCTCTAGTTTTCCTGGCTGATGTTGGAATGTTGCTCTTAAAGGAGCTTGTATTTAGTGTGGCTGCATTAATCAATAAATTCTGGGTTTAAATGATCATTAAGCCTAGCCTGTCCTCTCCTCCCTACTTGTCTGTGTGACCTTACTGCAAATTTGACTGGTTTCCTTCCAAAGGAAGGAAGGGAACCCAAAAGAAAAAGGGGATTTCTTCTACCAGCATCTAATTTTTAAATATAATACATTATGAGTATTTTGGTTTATTAGTTTTAGTTCTATTATGTCATAAAGGTTTTTAAATTTAAATATTAAATATTAATTTATTTTAACCAAAATTATTTTTATGGGTTTTATTATAATGTATTTTTTATAATTTTAATTTTTAAAGTATTTCGTTTTATTTGTAAGGTGATTTTTTGAAACTTGCTTTTAGTTTAGTTTTTTAAAAATAATTTTTGTTTAATGAAATTTTTAAGTTAGTATTTTTTAAGGTTTGTATATAGTTGTATACTATGTGAGTTTTTTGTCAGGCTTTGAGAATTTTCTATAAATCCATTTCCCACATTTGTAATCTTGGCTTCTGTCACTTCTGGTATTGTGGATTCCTGTCAGTCTCCTGACAGAGGAGGAACCACAGGTGTTTCATAGCTGCACTTGAACTCATTTGAGCAAAATTGCTTCGTGTATCCCATTTTATATCTCCCTCTCTCCAACCTTTTTGATTTTCTTCTCTGTTTCTGTCATCAGTGTTGGCAGCTGATTCTAAAGTTTCACTTGTGCAGCAGCTCTCTTGATCTCCTTGCTGGGTGAAATACAGACAACAGACAAGAAATTTCTATAAAAATATTACTAAATTCAATTACTCTAAGAAGTAAATGGGAACATACATCTCAGGAATCTTCTATTCATTCCTTTTGTGGAGTTTATATCTGCCATTGAGTCAGGGAGCAGGGCAGTGTCCTGGAAATGAAGTTTTGTCCTGCAGAAAGTTTGTGGTGTGTCCTCCAGAATGGCTGATGGCAGCTCGGTGCCTCACAGCCATCCCAGCAGAGATCATGCACAATTGCCATGGCAGCAATTTTTAAAATTTAAAATTAAAAAAAAACCACCATGGGGGTGTTTTTGCAGCCTGGGACACAACAGAGTCCTGATGAGATGCTGCCAGGGCTCCTGTAACAAACTGAATGGAATTGTTTAGAAATCTGTTACTGCCCCCTTGTACACCTCACTCCGTGGTTTTATTATTTTACCCACACAAGCAGCAATGCAAACTTAGGAGGAAGATTTATGAGTGAAATGGTCGAGTTCTTCATACAGCCATTGCAGGGACTGGGTAACAGATTGAGCTGTCTCTTGCACTGTCTGCTGCAATTTGTCTTGTAATAATAGACTTATATCAATTACAGTGTGAACTTGCAAGCTGGATTTCTTTCCTTTTTTTTTTAACTTGTTTGGAAGTTGTGATCCCTGTTTGTCCCAGTGAAAGGGAGGGAAAACCTGTACCAAAAAAGAGAGAAGGTAAAAGGCAGTACCAAGAATGAATTCTGCTGCAGTGCTGGTGTCATTGGTATTCAATAGTTGTCCTGGCAGTCTTGTTCAAGGCCTGGTGGCCACCTGAGCTGGACATGGAACTGAATGAAATTAATTTTCCTTCTTTAATTCAGCCCTGGGACTTTTACTTGGACATGCAGCCAGTGAAAACATTCTAAATTCTACAAACAAGGGTGTGTTTATTTACATAGAATTGCTCAATGGAAAATGAGGGGTTAGTTTTGACTCTTAAGTGTTTTCTCATCAAATCTCAAGTTGTTGCTGGTTTTACTGAGTGCCTCCTGATGGGTTTTAAAACATGAAGTATAAAAAGAGTGGGAACTGAACAGACTTTATAACTTCTTGACTGATACAAAATCCGAGCATGAGTAATGTTTTGCAAGAGGCTCCCATAATTATGAAACAATAAGTACATGAGACAATGGGTGTAATTGGAAGGTGTTTAAAAAACAGGAATGACCAGGGAAGACTTGTCAGCAAAGTCATCTTGTGGTGGCATGATGCTTGTCCTCTCCAAAGAAAGCTGAATACCACAGTCCAGTGTTTAACAAAGTGTCAACAGATTAATTTTCACACTACTCTTTGCTGCCACACAAGTGGAATTTTAAGCTCTTTTGCAGTGCCTGGTGGAGATGATTAAAGGCTGCATCAGAGCCTCCCAAGCACACACCTGGAGAGGCAGTGTGCTCTGCTGGCTGCAGTGCTCACCTGGTGAGAGATTGCTTTCCCACCTGCCACTGACCTTGGATATTTAGTGCAGTAACTTTTAGCAAATTACCCCACTCTGCCTGGGCTTTGTTGTACATGCAATGTTGATAATGGTGGCTCATTCCTTCGTCAGGTGCTTTGAGACCCAACTAATTAAGTGTGAGATAATAGCATTGGAATGTGTGTATAAAGGCAGAATGCAGTGCATGGGTAGCTAAATGAAATGCTTATGAGGGAGATATTCATCAGTTCATTGACTAGCTGTCAATCTCTGCCTTCACTCTGGTCACACACTATTAAGATATTGAACTATATAAAGATTATGGTAAACAAAAATACCAGCACCTCCTAGAGCAGGTAGATCGGAGTTTGCACTATAAACTGCTTAAAACAAAGGTGATTTTTTTTTTTTTTCTTGAAATCATTGATTAAAATGGCAGGAATTCTGATACATTTTCTTGTAAATAAAAATATTATTTTCTTTCACTGTAAAAATATTTTTTTTCATTTTCCTCTAGGAAATGTTTCTTCCTGCAAAGAGCTGTTTCATACAACTCCTGATTAATGTCCTGTCTGCCATCCTGCTCTCTAAGTTTTCTTCTTTGAGGCTGAAGACCTACACCAGCCTTACAGGGCAGTGTAAATCCTGAACCAATGCTACAAATTTTCCTTATTTAAAATAGCAAATGGCGAGCTGAAAGCTCCCATGGATGTGTTGCCCATTGAGATGTCTTCAGGTTTCATGGATCTTTGCTTCCCACTGAAACTATAACATGTTTAAATATTTGTGAGGATAAATAAATTCTGATAGCTGGGCCCTCATTGTACCAGGGTTTTTGGCATTTTGTTTTCATATTTTGTCTATGACTGCCCTGAAGTTTGACCCAAAACAACCTTTTAAACTTGAAAATCTGCCATTAGCCCATAGGGAAAGTGGAAGAGGATGGCACAAAAGATAATCTGTGCTCAGATTGCTCTAGTTTAGTGCATGTAATACCTTAAAGATACCAGGTTGGTTTCTTTTTCTGTTTTAGCA